AGTGATGTTGCTTTGAAGGGTAATAATGTCGTCTGCGAAGGTATGAGAAGAATCTGCCTTCAACTCTTATACCTATCTCCCAATCCAGATTTTCACTCCTAAAAGGCGGGGGTAAATTTGGCAACACAGTATCGCCTTGTCGGCCCTTCGCAACTGGTATGCTAAGGTGGGCGATAGACTTTATCTTTATAGTGCAATTCTTGTAGCAGTCGACCAATATCTTCACGTAAATTGGGCCCACCTTTTGATGGACACGCGCTGACAATATGGCAGCAGTTTCGACGCTGTCAAACGTTTTCTCATAGTCAATGAATATTAGTACGAGAGGCAGGCCATACTCTCGACATAGACAATCCTCGATACCTTCTGGATGTGATCCACGAAGATAAATCCTTTGCGCTTTTACCAATTGGGCTTCATCCAGTATCCTTGATATCCGAGTGAAAATAATCTTTGCCGAAACGTGGTCCGGCTCCAGTGGCTGCCTTCATGTCTGGATTGCGACGCGTAGGCGCAATTTGGTACTCGATAAGTTCCCGGCGGTATTTCTTTAGACTTTCCTTCTCTTGTGCTACTTCTAAAAGTTTTAATGCCTTTACTTTTGAAGATTTTCCTGCAAAGTTGTTCCGCAACTGGCATTGGCTACGCTTGAGGTGTGGCATTCGCATCCTCAGCGCTCTCCTCTTTTCAAGCAAATCCTTGTCGGTTTTCAAAATTAGTTCCAAGTTCCTTGTATCAAGCATCACTTTCATCACAGACCACAGACACCTAAGAAGCAGGCCTAGTCCTTCGTTGGGCCCTCCTCATTGATTGGGGGCTCCTCCAACCTGGCGCCGTCATATATGACTTATTTCCTTCCTCCAGTATGGTGACAAGTCTTCTTTTTCAACTTTTGGCTAAATCATTGTCGGATTAGACGGCGATTTGAACCACTGCTGAAAGATGGTGGAATGAGACGCCAGTAAGCACCACCTTTGGTTGGTGAGAATGTGGTCGATCTCCGCTTGAGTCGTACTGTTGGGTAACTCCCATGTCCACCGCAGGTGCTCTTTCTTCATAAAAATGGAGTTGCCAT